TGCTTCTGAGAATTACTCAGACTGTGCCTCCTTCCAAAGATGGGCAGCCTCGATATGCATATGACAATATGCCACTAAATAATGTCATGTACCCTTTATTACGTAGCAAATTTATGTGCCAGATAGTGTTCTAAGTGCTTTGCTTACTCAAACTCATGTACTCCCCACACTGTGCCCATTTAACAGATGGGGAAACGCAAGCACAGAGCTGTGTTACCTGACTTGTCCAAAGCCATGGAGGGACTAAATGTTGGGGCCGGAGTTAACCCCAGTAAATCTGGCTCCAGGGTCTGTGTTACCTCCCCATGAGGTAACAACTTTTTAAAAATAACTTTCCCTTTGTTTGTACCAAACCTCTACAACTAAGGCCCCATATCCTCTCCTTAGAATTCCAGCAATGACGCGCACACCTAGGATAGAGCCAAAGTCGACGCCTGTGACGGGAGGGCGAGAGATAGAATTACATTTAAAAAAACAAAATTTTCCAAAAAATAACCAATGACAGTGGAGAGGACACGCGCCCAGCAGCCTCACCCCGCCGAGCCTTCTCCACGAAGCGTCGGCTCCGGCGCTGGAAGAATCGCGCGCCCGTGCGCCGGCGACCCTGCGCAGCCGCAGAAACACCTCTCAGCGTTAAGAGGCTCGCCGCTATGCTCTAGTGCCGGGTCCCAATCCCACCAGCTTTTGCGAGCGGAAATCTGAACTCGAACGCCCAGCTACAGACGCTCGGAGGCGGGCACTGCCGGCTGCGCAATGGGAAACAAAGCCCCTCCCCTTGGCTGTCTCCCTAGCAACGTTCCTTTTCCCCCAACCATTGCGCAGGCGCTCGCCGGATTGGTTAGGAGCCGCGTGAATGGGAAAAAGAGTGCCGCGTGCTCGCTAGTGCGCGTGTAGTTCCGGAGCTTCCGGGGTCCTCGAGGCGGGCGCGTCACGTGGTCGGGCCCGACTTCCGGTGGGAGGACCGTTTGTGAGGCTATAGAGTTAACGGTTTTTTGGCCGTTGACGCTCGGGAAGGCTGGCTGACACTAATTGGGTTCCGTGCCCTCCGGAGGCCGGTGAGGCAGGTCCTGATGCCAGAACAGGTCTGTTTAGCGACACTTTTTCCTCACCTTGAACTTTCTTGCCTTTCGGGTGTGCGCTAGAAACCGCTGAGATTCGGTTTGGTTTGATCGTTGGGGAGCTCCGGGGCGGAGCGGGGGGCGGGGCGGGGCAGGATTTGCCCGGAGGGAAGAAAAAGGACTTGATTTTTGGGATCGCGCAGAGGGGTGGTTCAGGGTGGTTCTCGCCGCCTGTCCCGGGATACCAGCGGCTATGAGCTTTTGAGATTTGGCCGCTTTTTGAGTACTTTGTGCTGACTTTCTGGGACAAGTAGATCCTTTTTCGTTCTTTCTCTTAGCGAAGGCAGGTGGGGGGCGAGGAACTACCAAGACTCTGAGACTTTATATAGAATTTTGAGTTTAAAGAATTGATGAACTAGCGAGTTGATTCGTTAAAACATTTCTGTGAGATTGAAACGTTGATTTTGAGGCTTTGTTGGTAACCTCGTTTGATCAATGACAGTGCAGTCTTCCTGGTTTACTCTAAATACTTAAACGCGAGGCGAAAGAAAATAAAGGCACGATTGTTTGAGAACTTGGTTAGAGATCGCTTCCTTCCCTCCTCTACCTGGCTCTCCCCAAATTAGGACTGCTCTGGGGTTTTAAACTACTTTAATAGTTACAAGTAGTGATTTTACAAGCAGCTTTTCGTCACGGTGTTTTATGAAAACTGGGCATGGGCTCGATTCAGTGCTGGGCGATGGGATGCAGTTACGGCGGCATTATCTTCCATCCGGCAACTTTGTGGTCGGGTTAAGTTTGATACGGACAGAAGGGCTAGTTTTGAGAGGATTTTTAGAAAATGATTGTTCAGTGTTTTGACACAATTTTGATTTAAAAATATTGGGTGTTGTAATCTGCCTTGGTTTTGCTATGTATTTTTTGCAGTGGTTTTCGGGTGAAACGCTGTTCTCATCCTTCACATTTTCGATCAATCTTGGAAGCTGAATCTTCAAATGACTTTTGAAAAATGCTTTTGAAATGCCTTTAAAGTTTAAAAAACGTCTTTAAAAAAAAACCCAGGTGGCTTCTTGTTCTTACGTTATCAAGAGTTTAGGTTTTCTATCGTAAAATACAAAAGAGCTTCATTTTAAGTAAACTCATTTTGCAGGATTTTGAGTTTAATGAATTATATTAATTAATTTTGCATAATCCAGTCATGGTTAGGCTCCAAGAAATTGTTGTGGAAACTATCTTATGTGAAGACGGGAAAGGAACTAAAATTGATGCTGTGCCTGCTGTGAACCAGTCATGGTATTCAGTGGTTAACTGTGTCATTTGGTCTTACACAGCCCTGTGAAGTAGGTATTATTCCAACTTTACAAGTTAAGAAATTGAGGCACAGAGTTTAAATATCTGCTTGAAGCAAAATAGCAAATTTTGCAATTTGGATTTGGATTCAAGTATTTTTTAAAGCCCAGTTCTTTGCATTATGTCCTGGTTTTTAAAATTTGTTTACAAGAAACGGTTGCTGTATCCGCAGTATACAGGTGCAATGTGAATGAAAATTACATTTTTTGACCCTGAGTATTTATTGTCCATGTGCTCCATGACAAATAGTTCTGTTGGGAGGATGTTATGAATATCCAAATAATGAAATAACAGTTGCAAACAGTGAGTGCCTTTGCTATGCCAGCCATGAATTCTAAACACTTGACGTGTATTAATTCATTTAATCCTCATAACTCCGTGTGAGGTCTGTACTATTATCACCATATTACAGATTAAAAAAAAAACACACAGAGAAGTCACACAACTAGTAAATGGAGGAGCTGGGACCTAAAACCGAGGTATTCTGGCCCCAAGCCTAAGGTCTTTATGCTATTTGATGTTTCCCTTTATCTAACAATTACCTTAAAAGCATTACTGGGTGAGTGTTCTGGTACTTTGGGGAAAGCAGTGTCACTTTTGGATGGGATGACTTAGCACCTTTGCTTTGTGGAGATGGAACTTGAGTTGAGCTTTGAAGTTGAATAGGTTCTCCTAGGTGGAGAACCAGCAGGGTGTTGTGGGTAGAGGTCATGACAGGAGTGAGAGGTTCAAAGAGTGCAAGACTGGTGATTTGTAAATGTGCCACAGAGTTAGAAATACCTGAAGTCTAGTGGTGGACTCAATGAATGCTGCATCTTTGTCTAACTACAGCCAAGTTTTGGCTGCAGTGTAATTAATCCAGTAGAGAATTGTCTCATTTTAAGAGTCTATAATGCTGGTGGCAGACTTTGTCTATAAAAGGCCAGATAATAAATATTTAAGGCTTAGAGCAGGGGGACAGGTGGTACGAGGTGATCTCACTTGAGGAGTGTGGAGGCTTCTGACTGTGTAAGGACCTTGTAGGCCATTATAGGAGTTTGGGTTTTATTTTGTTATTGTTAGAGAAGGGATTCCAGGTGATTTTAATAATGAATAAGTAAAACCCATAGACCCTGGAGCCAGACTGCACCACTGTCTAGCTATGAGACCTGGATAGATTATTTAAACTCACTTAGCCTCAATTTTCTCTTAAGAAAAATGGGGATAATAACAGAGCCTGCCCTACAGGGTTGTCAGGAATACTAAATGAATTAACACACATCAAGTGCTTAGAACATTGCCTGGTACAGAGTCGGCTGTAAAATCTGTTAGGTATTATTATCTGTACCTTGTGGTGTATTCCAAATTTTCTATAGTGAAACATAAGTAATGAAAAGTTACACATATAAAATATAAAACAAAATTGATAGAAGTACAATGAGATTATAGGAAATACTATTAGAGTTGGGAAATTTGAATTCAATATTCTTATTCCTTGAGAGTTCAAGTAGAGGTGCAAGACTGCTCCACAGTCTTCTTTGTCAGATATCTGTGAACTGGGGACTTCTTACATAAATCATGGCCTATCTGCAAGATAGAAAATGAGGAAGTTGTTAGAGTGACTACAGTATATCTAAAGGTATTGGTTTGGAAAGACGTAGCCCACCATTGATTATTTTTGCCTGTTTTTGAGCTTTAGATCAATTGAATCATACAGTATGTTCTCTTTTGTATCTGAGTTTTACTCACCTGTATGGTTGTGAGATTCATCCTCATGTGTGGCAGTGGTTGGTTCATTCTCATTGCTGTGTAGGCTTCCTTTGTATGAAAACACAGCAGTTTAATTATTCATTATTAGTCTTAGAATAAAACAACCAGTTTAAAGAATAAAGGTTATACCTCAAATTGTAGGGTTTTGTTTGTTTGTTTGTTTTGAGAGAGAGAGAGAACATAAGTGGGGAGGGGGAGAGGGAGAAAGAGAATCTTTTTTTTTTTTAATTTAAAGATTTATTTATCTGAGGGGGAGAGAGACAGCACGAGTGGGGGGAGGGGCAAAGGGCAGGAAACCCAAGTAGACACAGGGCTCCTTCCCACAACCCTGAGATCATGACCTGAGCTGAAACCAGGAGTCCAACGCTCAACTGCCTGAGCCACCCAGGGGCCCCTCAGCTCCTTTCAAAAAGCAGTTAGGAGTTGTGTTCCCTTGTTCATTTGTTTCCAGCGTTTACTCTGTAGCCTTTCAGTTGTGAAGCATTCACTTCACAATTTGGAATTTGCGTGTGATCTTGATTCTTATTTCTAGGTGTGGCAGCCTAGCCCTTCAATTTTTAAAGGTTTATTCTAAATCACTAATGGATGAGTTATTGTTTTGTCACTCTCTAAAATTCAGCCAGGGCTCCAATTCACTTGGAGTTGGCATTCGGAGAACATAACCCTATTAAGTTGATTATGGTAGTAAGTCTGTGAAGTAACTATTTTATGTGTTGTTTTTCAGGAGTAGGTGGTTTACCAGCCCTAGGTGACCAGGGAGTTTCACAAATAAACCCTCCAGCAAGTTTAAATATAATTAGGCCCAACTCCGAGGAGGTGGAGTGCTGCTGTTGCACAAAAAAGATGTCTAGCGGCTCCAGTGAAGTTGATGTGGTTTGTATTTCACATTGAAAATCTGTCTTTGTTCTTTTCACTGTGCTCTCTTTCTTTTCTAAATTGAATTTAATTTCATTCAGTGAAATGCAGAAATAACAACTTCATGAGTTTTGACAGTGGTCTGTAAAGCTGCGGCAAACATTCATGTACAAGTTTTTTGTGAACAGATAATAGCATTTCCTTTGGGTAAATACTCAGGAGCTGAATTGCTAGCTCATAGGGTTAATGTAACTTCGTGAAAATCTTGCCAGTCTTTCAAAATCGTTGTGCTGTTGTACAGTTCTGTCACATTCTGCTATGTTTCTTGATTCCTGAAGGTGAGTAAAAATACGAATTATTAAACTATATATAATTTGCCTTAACAGAAAAAGCATTTCTTTACTTAAATAAGGATGTGGGTATTAATGCCACCCAAGTGCTATGGGCAATTCTCTTAACTTCTATCAGCCCCAGTATCTTTTCATCTTTGGACAGAATGTTAACCACCTACTGAGAATTGCTTTCTGAAATAAATATGTGAAAGCAGTTCGAAAGGCATAAGGCACTATGCACGGTATATTTTATCAGAACTAATCTATAGCCCATTCCATATTGTTTTGGTTATGCTTTTTGAAACAAAGACTGCATAGCTTCTATCTGTCTTTATTTTAACATTATTCCTATAGTTTATAATTCATTCTTAGAATACTGTTATTAAATGAAATCTAACGGCTATTTATTGTATATTTATTTATACCCTGTCCTATTCCAAAAAAATGTTTTAAGGTGATTAATTTAGCAAGAAAAATAGGTGCTTAAGTGTTTCCTATTTTATCCACAGAGTGGCACTGTTGGATTATTTGAAAATAAAAGCCATGTAACCTGGTTCTTTGTTCATGGTTAGAGATACTTGCTTTTACAGCAATTCTGGTGCCGGGTTACTAGACTAGTCTTTCTGCCCTGAGTTACACAAGAGGTTAAGCTCAATAGAAAATGATAAGTGTAGTTGGGATAATGAGAAAAGTTTTTTAAGAACATCTTTTCATGTAGTCCCTAGTATTTGCAGTGGACAGAGGTCCTTTGATAATCACCAGTAGGCTTTTGGAGCTTCTTAAAAGTGAAATTGAAGTCCTCACTTTTTCTTTCAGTTCTATCTTTCATCTTTCCTTTTAATTTGTTAATACATCTTCCTTAGATAAGAACACGAATACCTGCTTATGATGATGATAACACTGTTCTTTATGCATATGAACCAAACACTGCATATGTCAATAATGTAAGTAATGTTAATTGCCATTTGCCAAATATATTAACACTTAACCATTTTAAGGGAAAAGGTTTAAATTTTTCTTATACTGTAGAGTTCCTCTAAACTCAAACTCAAAAAATGTTGGCCTCTCCTGAATTTGTTTGCTTCCTTTCGTTAGACAGTGAGCACTTAACCATTTTACTTCCCTTTTCCTTAGGTAGTAGGAAGTTCAGAGTAGTTTATACTCATTTTCAGTACAAACCTTGAAACCTAGGTCCTTCTGATGTAATAAATTCTTATTTCCTCTCTTAATTAGCAGTTGTCATTTTCATTCTTGTATTAATGTGAGTTTTTATTTTATTTTGTCTCTGCTTTAGATTAAGACTTCTGATTCCTTTTGAAAAGTTGGTGACAAATAAAAACAATTTAAATAAATAAATGTAAAGTTTTTTTTCCTCCTGGTGTTCAGTTTGGCTCTTATAAAAGTAAAGCATTAACTACTTAACTTTTAAAATATTAGCAGGAAAGCGTGATGTCTGACACATCCTACAACGAAGAACAACAAAAAACAGTTACGGATGTCCTCACTCATTGTCAGGTATAAAAGTTCTGTCTCTCAAATGTAGTTTTCTGAAATACTAAGTTAAAATTCCCTTTATCTCATGTAAAGTATACAATTAATTGAAATTTTGCTGTATCAAATTACTTATGATTATGCCTTCATTGTGATGATTTTTAATAATTTCTAGTTAGAATAGCATCTCCAGGTGAAAATTTTGAAATACCAATATGTACATTTTATAGCTTTGTTTTAAAAGCCCTTAACTGAAGAAATGTATGTTATGTTGCTTGATATTGAATTAATTTCCCCTACAAAATCTTTAAAGGAAATTGTCTGATACAGAAAAAAATTAGTATGTGCCTAAATGCATTGCTGAGATAGCTCAATCGAAAAAATGGCAGCATACCATTGTTTTTAAAGAGCATGTCTTATGTAGTTTGTAATTTTGAGGGGATTTTGTAAAAGTTAGCATGCTGGTAGAGATTGATGGGTGTAATTATCAAGGATTTTGTGAGCTGCATCCTCTAGAGGTAATGGAAGTTTGTTTATTAAAAAAGTAGTTAACATACAAAGTTTGTTGGATTAAAATGAGCTACCGTGCCTAAGTAAAGAATGTTTAGGTGAGTCTTTATCACTGTTATTAAGAACAGAAGTGGACTGCTTCAAGGGAACATATCAGGTCTTTGGGGAAGGGTGTACGGGGAGGGGCGGGGGGCGGTGGGAGGGGGGTTCTGATGGCCTGCCTCACATAAGCACCCACGACACCCCGGGCTGCCACTGCTCTGCCAGGGCCTCCTTTCTGAGCGACGGTGTAAGATGTGGTGGGCTAGAACGTGGAGGAGGAGAAATGCCCAGGGGCCCAAGTCACAGCCCTGAAACCGACCAGAACGCTAGTCTTTGCACCCAAGTGTGTTCCCCTAGAGCCTGCCCTGTTGACCTCTGCTATAGGCCAGTGGGTCTTACTTGATCAGGCAGCAGAACCACCTGGAGGGCTTGTGAAAGCAGATCGCTGCCCCCAAGGAAATGGTTCTGGCCTCCTGTTAAGTGTATTTTTGGCCTGAATGAAATTTCTGTGTATTTGAAGAATTCCCAGGTTTTTTAAGTCACATACCTGGTTGGCCAATAGGGGACATGTACTCAAAGGTTTTGTAAGGTTAATTGTTGATTGCCTGATTTTGAAATACTCTGAAGCCAGAAGTCACACCTGTTATATTTGGCTCACTGTTCTCTCCAGCATAGAATGCTCACTGCCTGTGAATTCACACCATGGTTCTATGGAAAGAGGCTCTTTGGCCTTTTAGCAGATTTGAAGCTTTCTAACCTAAAATAGCCCTTTCCTTGACATAAAATGACTCCATCATAAATGTGGTGGCTTATAAGAATGGTGGTACATTTACTTCCCTGTATTAAAGCTTCTTAAAATGCCTGTATGGCCTGGAGTAGTTGAGTAGGAGGTTGGGGCTCCTTATCTCAGCCAGCTGGACTCTGTGTCACCAAAACCAGGCATCTGGTTCTGACAGCTTAAGAGCTTTTCTTTGTTTCTAGCAGTCAAAATTTTGCTTTTTTGTTACTTTTGGAATAGAAACTATTAATAGCTTGTATTATAATAGGTCATCTATGATGCTATTCAAAATCTGGATAAGAAATTTGATGTCATTCATGGAAAAGTTTCAAAAATCCACCGTTTTCGTGTGAAATCATTGTGGCAGAATCGCGTGAGTGTTAACAAAAATATTTTCATGATTGTAATAGACCTCTTGCTTCTAAAGATGCCAATGAGTTAGAAATGAGAAAGAACTATTAACTATGAGATTAGCAAGGCCAAATTGATTCTTGCTGTAGCAGCAGATGGGAGACTAAAACTTGGGAAAATGTTTAAGTTTAGGTTTGAGAAATGTATGACAATGAATATTTTTATGTTTATAACCACAATGTATAAAATTTGGTTAAAATGTAGGGGGGGTTGAAGAGGAACAAAAATCATATAATTAAAATAGAGCATTAATCTTTAGTAATATAAAGCAGTGTTACCTGAAAAATAAATGTATATTTACAACTTACTTTATTTCCTTTTTTACTCACTGACAGTTGGTTTATGCTGGGTTTGTGTCATTTCAGAAGCACCTTGGATACGCCTACAGAAATTATAATTACCTGCTTTCCAGAAAGATCAGACTCCAGAAAATGAGGAAAAAGGAGCCTCCTTCTTCATTCTCTTACCCTGAAAGTTATAGCCCAACTATGCCGGTGGAGAGGCCAGCAAATGATTCCCCGATCAACCCGGTAGGAACACCCTACCATTCAGAAGAGGGGTCCCCAGAACGGGATCCGGAGTCACTCCTCCAGGAGCAGGAGCCGAATCTGAGCCAGAGTCCGACACTTCCCTCCATGTATTCTCCACGTTCATTTCAGCCATATTTCACACCTGATGATCCAGTGCAGGGCTCCTCTTCCATGCCCTGCTATTCCAGCCCAGGGGCCCAGAGCACCCACAATATCTTCTCACCTACCCGAGCTTCTGCAACAGTATCTGGATCCATGCTGGGTCAAGGTGAGCCCAGTCCGGCACATAACCCGGAGGTGACGACTTACCCAACTCTAATGGAAAATAAGAGCCTCGGCCGTACTGCCTCATCTCTTTGTATGCCACCCAACTTTGGTGAGTGTGAAATGACACAGTACAAGTAGCACTATTTAACCTATAATCACAAGTAGCACTATTTGACCTATAATCCTCAACATCCTTGATGCAAGACCATATCTCCCTACCTAACATCTCTTCTTTCGGGATAATGATCAGGTCAAGTTTGATTTGTCTTTTTCCCCCCATTGAAGCTACAAGTTCACCAATTGGAACTGACCCAAGGATCCTAAAACAAAGCTTCTCTGATGACCCTTCAACCTGGTCCGTGGATGAAGTGATCCAGTTTCTGAAACATATAGATCCTCAGACACTCACCCCCATCGCTGACCTTTTCAGGCAACATGTAATGTATATTTTGATCTGGTTTTCCTGCCGTAATGCTTTTCTCTTTCCTTTTATTTTAAGTAAGCTCTATACCCAATGTGGGGCTTGAACTCATGACCCCAGGATCAACAGTCTCATGCTGTAGGACTGAGCCAGCCAGGCGCCCCTGCCATAATGCTTTTGAATGACCTCTGTGCAGGCCCTTCAGTTGGGTACTGATTAGTGTGGTTGGTGGGGGAACCCTAGCAACTGATTTTCCATATGTGAGAAAGGTTACTTGGACCAAAGTTAGATCCTTAAATGGTAGAGGCTGGATTTAAATAGGAACAATGTGATATGGTGTCCTCTTTGTTATGATGCCCAATGAATCCAGCAACTGATTCCATTTGGCTCAGTTCTGTTAACCTTATATGGTTATTGACGATTTGGGGTGCTGATACCCTCATGCCATTTACAAAGTAACATCATGGGTTAAATTTTTATAAGTTCTGATTTTTATTGTACTTAGTAGAAAAAGTACAGAAGGTGCCTGACAAAGGCAATACCATTAAGGGGTTTCAAGTCTTTTCAGACAGTACAGTTTTATTTTTAAACCAGAACTTGTAAAAACCAAGTAATATGTTTCAGCAACATCAGTCAGTCTATTAGTAAAGAACTTGAGGGAGGATGCCTCGTGACTATCAAGTCATGTTTTTATAGTGTTTCCTAATGAATAAAATTAGTGGCCACATACTTGATGTACCCTTTTCTATATGGCAAGAAAATAGTTTTTAGCATCTAACTTCAGACAACTGATTAGCTTTCAACATCAAGACAACACTGTATAGCACATGGACAGTTCGTATGGATGCTAACACTGTCATATTCCAGGCTGTTAAAAGAAAAATTCTACCATTCATAGTTTTTACTCTTTGTCATAGTTATGCAGTATTTTATTCAGTGCACTATTTTAAAGGTAGGTAGTTTGATGCTTAGGACATTTTTAAGATTTTAGGTTGGGGCGCCTGGGTGGCTCAGTCGGTTAAGCGGCTGCCTTTGGCTCAGGTCATGATCCCAGGGTCCTGGGATGGAGCCCTGGGTCGGGCTCCCCTTCTCGCTCTCCCTCTGCCCCTCCCCCATTTTGTGTGTGCACGCGCTCTCTCTCTCTCTCTCTCTCTCAAATAAATATTTCTTTAAAAAGATATTAGGTTAAATTTTTTTCCTAAAATTCGAAGTAAATTTACAAGTGATCAAACCATGCTTCACTGTACAAATTCTGTCTGTCATAGTTTTCATCAAGCAGGTGTGTACTCAAGAGAATATACATCAGCCATGAGCTGCTCTCTTCTTGGTGTTACATGTTCCTATAAATACAGAAATGACCATTCTGATAAAATATGAACATATTAACTAATTACTGTTATTTCCTTCTGTCTGCAGGACATTGACGGGAAGGCTCTGCTACTACTCAACAGTGACATGATGATGAAGTACATGGGGCTGAAGCTGGGGACAGCTGTGAAGTTGTGCCACTACATTGATAGGCTTAAAGAAGAAAAATTCTTTAACAACTGAAAACACGTTAGTGTAGATTTAGCTTGGACTTAATTCAGGGGAGACCAGTGCCATTTTGGTGTAAAATCATTTTTCTGCCCTTAGAAGTTTTTGTCGTGTAGAAGGTTCTTTTAAAACTATGTTCTGTCCAGAATTGCAGAACTACGTTACAGTCTGGTCTACTATTTTAGAAGCCATTTAACATGTTAGTATTGGCATATTCAGATTGGGAGTTTGTTTTTTATATCTTTTTATCATTTTCATTGTATAGTTTACAAATGTTCTTCACACAAGAAACAGAAACACCTTTAATTTCTGTTCATCTTTATCTATAGAACCAAAACAGCTGAATCCCAAAGAGTAAATATCAGGGACTGAAAAGTTCTCTAATAAATCCATGGGTTTTCCTTATAAGAAAACTTAAAGATGCAACTGTAGATAGCATCTTTCTAAAATATTTTATGTTTGTTACTGTAAGGTTCTGTTCATGTTCTACCAGCTTCCCAAAAGGGAAAACCATATAAATTATTTTCCTTTCTATTATTTCTATATATGTTATATTCCTATTTAAAGAAAAAAAGGCAACCTTATAAGCTTTCCTGAAATATTCTTACCAGTTTTTAGATAAATTCTTAGATAGAATGGTCATTTTATGCAAGAGATACTTAGTTTAAAACTTACATATTTTGCCTAAGCTTGGGTATTTCACTAGGCATTCATTGCTCGCATCTCTCTATAAAGATGCCTATGTCCAAATTTTTGAAAGTTATATATTTCATTGTCTGTGTTCATAATGATGCTGTTTCATATTTATATTTTATTCTGTATCTGAAGTATACACACAAGTAAATCTTTTCGTTTTGAATTTAAGAATAGCACTTTGCACTTCACAGAGGTAAAGATGAACTATATTTAGTGAGATGTTTTTATTCTGTTAAAAATATTCGCACATTTGCCGTCACTAGTACCTCGCATCTGACTCTAGGGCTTCCATACGGGGAAGCTCTCTGTCCTGTGCAATGTTTCCGGTTCGTTTGCTTTCTGAGCCATTTATTCTACTAAACTTCGGAAGATATGTTAGCTCGGATTTGTCATTTTGGACTTTATTTTAAAAATTAGAACTTTCAAGTGAAAACTGTTCATTGTTTTGTTATTTATTACCTTGTTATATTGTATAACATTTGATATAATACTTATAAGCTGTGAGAATTGGTGCTAAGTGTATTAGCCATTTGTTATAAATGCCAATAAAATGTTCACCAGGGGCAAAAATGTACATTTTCCTTCTCAAAAACCAAGTGTACTTTATAAACAAATGCAATTCTTTACTGGGCATATGTAATTTAAAAGGTGTTTTTATTTATGTTATTCATTTATGTTATTTCTTGTAAGACAAGATTCTATTTTAAACTTGATCTTCTCTCAAATTGTTTGTGTGAAGATGCTGTGCCCAGTTCAACAGTCCTCAGGTGTTTGTATGAATACTATGTTTTACAGTTTTCAGATTTTAAAATATAATAAAGTTTTAAAACCACAATAATGTCAAAGCCTCAGATTTGATTTTATCTGCTTGCACTGCATGACATTAATGTACAAATTTATTAGAGGTGATAAAGAAACGCTCTACTAAGTTTGTGGTTTTCTACGCCCAGAGAGTTGAGTATTAACACTTGCCCTCATTCTACAGATGAGCAGATCGCTAGCAGCAAAGGGCCGATCTCCAGGCTCCCTGCTCGGCGGAGAGCCTGCTTCTCCCTTCTCCCTCTCCCTCGCCCCCTGCCTGTGTTCCCTCTCTCGCTGTGTCTCTCTCTGTCAAGTAAATCAAAATAAAATCTTTAAAAAAAAAAAAAGGCCGATCTCTTGGAGGGCCTAAAGGAGACCCCAGGGGAGCAGTACGAAGTTCCATCGGTGAGCTTTGTCTTTGCTCAAAACTTGTTGCTCGCAATGGTATTGGTGATGCGAGCGCGCTGGAAAGGACCAGGGCCCCCCGCATATCTCGTCCCCGTCCCCGAGTTCTCACGTCTGCCTCGCGGTTCTGGCTGCCCTTTTACCCCCGGGGGCCAGGAGCCACACTGCCTTTCTGCCTTCAGCTCTCCCAGCTTACAGGGCGGAAAAGCCTTAGAGGCTCGGGATTGGGGTTGCATCGCCTTCAGTACCTGACCCCTTGCCCCTCTCCCCTACGCCAGGAGCTTCTGCTCCATGCCTTTGAACCCGGAAGCTCGTCCCGCTGCAACAGCGTGTCTGCTAGTTCACCGGGAGACGACAGGGTCCTCGCCGAGGCTCCAGGGCTGCCGCTCTAGTGGCTGGAACGGGGGTGTCACTGTGCTCGTCTGGGATTTGGGGGATTCAGAACCACTTGCTCTTTCAAAGAGAAAGGTTTGTCAGCTTGTAGTCCGGAGAGAGCATGCCACGTTAGGCTCTTGTGCACTCTCCAGGCTTTTAAAATGATCTTTCCTCTGGTTTTGCCTCTCCGTCCCTCCTTCCAACACCAGCTGGCGGCATTCTGCAAGCTGACCTCGGCAGCCCTCCGGGCGCATGGAGCATTTGCTTTCGTCTTTGCATGATTTCTGATCATTGCAACGTCTGCGCAGTATGCGTTGCAGAGTAGGACTTCCCAGACTTTCAAACCCAGGCCCCCTCTGTGAGCATGAAAAAGCCACGCCTTTCTGTAACATGACTAGAAATGAGAAGCTAAACCTCGTGACTAGGAACAATGTCGTGGGGGAGGAAAAGCACCGCTTTTCAAGTACGAAGGGGCTGCATTCACCGTTGGCTGAGTGAATGAAGTACGGTTGGAATTCTGGGGCTGTTTGTACGGTGAGATGCTGGGACGCGCTCGTATCTCTCAGTCCTCTGACGCTGATCCAGGGAACGAGGGAGGGCTCTCGGGCATGGAGGATGTGCCGCCCGGGGCCCACGTTCACAATGCACGGCAGACAGGGTTCCTTCCTTTACCTCCCGACATTTCCCCAATTTTCTCCTGAAGGTCGATGAAACTGCACCTTGAGAGCAACTCTCCACAGTGAGCACGTCCTCAGCTCGAGCTTCCCCACTCTCCTTGCTATACTAGAGGTCACTCTGGACACGTGGGGCCCCCTGCTCTGGCTCCAGGGGCGCTCGCAGCCCAGGGGACGAGCTTTAAGGAATAAGCGACCTACGTCCTCCCCTCCAGCTGCCTAGACCATAACTGAGGTGACCCAACGTTCATGGGAAGGAAGAGCCTCGGGAAGCTCATGATAGAGCACGTGAGCCAGTTCCTAGCGACTATGAGTGCTAAGTGTCCTACTACTGCAGTAATTCTGTGTCCCGCTCTTCAGCTGAAGAACCAAAGCCCTTACCTAAGCTCGTTCGCCTGGGGAACTAATCCCTCAGGGGCGAAGGGGGCAGGCGGGGCAGGCTATGGCCTCAGGAAGCCCCACTCCACCTTTGGCCTCACTGTTGCACCTGCCTTTGGCTGGCCTGCGCTGCTCAAGTTCATCGATGTCGGGGGGTGGGGGTCTATATAGTCCATGAGGCACAGAAAGAAGTCAATCCAGTGGGAGGGGAAGAATATACAACACGCTCTTTTTACATTTAGAGAAGATGGGAGAGATGAAGCTCCTTTATGTTGAATGTATGGACTGACAAAGGTGACGTGTTCCGAAGCGCAGCGTGGTGCTGACACGCCCCGCCCCGCCCCCAGCCTTTCTAAGTTCTCCCCCGAGCAGCCTGGAGGCGGCATTTCCCAGGCCCCCTTGCCAGCGGTGGGGGTTAGAGCCCCCCGCGAGGGAGAAGGTGGGAGGTAAGCAGAAGCAGTTTTCCTCTGGTAGCTGTTCAGGACAGGCCTTTGGCCGAGCAGAAGGCAGACGTGCATTTCTGGATGTCGTCTGGAGATTTCCCCACGTCAGGCACGCAGGAGGCTGAAACCATGGAGGGGGGCTTCCCTGCAACCCTTGCGCCCCTGGATCTCTGGGAACTGCCTCCCTCGCCTTGGCCCCCTGCCCTCCAGCAGCCGCAGAGGCTTCTGGATCTGTATCCAACCACTTCCACTCTGAAGACCTAGAATGTCGTGTGTGCCCTCTCAAACCCTGACTGGTCTACCTCCTTCAGAAGGTTGCCCCGGAGAAGCTGCCCACTGTTGGGAGGGAGGAGTAGAAGGTCCACAGCGAGGGGCCTTTATGTAATCAGGTCTGAGACTCCTTTGGCTGTAAGATGCGCCATCGTTTAATGGACCAAATGGGAGAGAAGAAGGTTGCCTCTTAAATCACATGCCATGGTCATCGATGCCGCCGATCTCATAGATGTTAGGAGGTGGGGAAAAGCGGGTGGGTTAAGACATAAAATGGTAACTCAAAAGCTGAACAGGTCGTTTTAGAGGGATAAAGCAAAGAAACGGAGAACTAAAGACTGATCATGTGAGCCCAGTGGACAGCAAGAAAAGGGCAGCGCTAGTCTGAGCTTAGTGACAACCACAGCACAAAGTAAAACAGAGCAATCTAATCAGATCGGCCGGAAATTCGCAATTCTCGAGACTTTGAAATGTGAAAGTGTAGCCAATGGCATAAGCAGAAGGTCTTGCCATGAGTGTCTATTTTGTCTTTGGGCATCAGCTGATGCTAGACAGAAGCCATCACATTTAGCGGGTCATTTAACAATTTCCTTGCATCCACCGAAGAAAAGAAAGAGGAAGTTGCCATGATGGTAGAGTCACACAGTCTTAAAGACATGTCGTCCAGATGCCACGCGTGGGCCTTGTTTAGATCCGGCCTAAGAGAAGCCGACGGTAAAAAGGCGTCTATGCGACGGTCCAGGAGAGGTGGGCACCCAGTGGATATGAGATGATAGTAAAGAGTTATTCATTTAGGACGACGTGGCCACACCAGACGGAAATGGTGACGAGAAAGAGAAACGTCTGTGCCCAAGACCAGGAATTGGATCTTTGGTAAACAGCCAGCCGTCTCAAGCACACCTCGTGATCCTAACGGCAAAACGTAAGACATTCATACCTCCTTGAATTCTGCCAATTTCCCGGGTACTCCCCTCCCCCCATTCCTCTCACACACCCAGCTCCTCTGACCCTCCCTCCCTGCTTGATCCTCTCCATAGCACTCACACTCGGGGTGGCTTATATAATTGCGCCTAGTCCTCGCCTCCTCCTTTCCCCGACAGAGGATCTTGCGTCCCATCCATTAGCATGGGCTAGCAGTTCCTTCTTACAGGCAAAACCGGTTGTCCATGCCACCGTTGCCCCTGAACCCTGCTTTGGCCGAGACGTAAGTGGCCCTCCGGCACATCAAGCCCCAGCAGGAGCTTCCCGGTGGCCTCTTGCTCATCTCTCTCTCTCATTCCCCTCTGCTACGAGCACAGCGCGTGCCCCCCAGGGGCTGCTCCTTCAGACTGGCTTCTGGAGCAAGAAGGCGTGTGGGGCTGGGCCAGACCATCCTGGCGCCTCCTGCAGAGAATGTCCTAAGAAGTCAATGGGTGCAACTTCCTGGGTCTGGGGGACTTGACAGCACAACTCAAAAATAGGGTGAAATGTAGCT